CAGGGATAGGAGGAATACTGCATTACTGTATTAATATTCACTTTCTTCTGAAATGGAGACTGCAGTGGGAAGGAGGGTGGGAGAATGCAGGCTGTAGTGCATGTTTCTCAATTTAATTTCTTAGCCTTCTTATCTAGATAGGCTTGGAGGCAGAGAGAGAGAGAGATGACGTAAGTATTTAATCTTTAAGCGCAAATGCTTTGTCTGTTCAGTCTATGTGTGTGTCCCATTTAATACAAAGATAGGTCATTTCCTCTAGGCCCATTTATCCTAGAGTCCTGGGTGTGCTGGTAGCCAGCTGCTCTAGTGGGAAGTGTAAGTTCTTCTCTAATTGTTCGCTGTAGAGAGAGTCTACCCAAAGAAGATATTTACTCACAGTCCCATCAGCTATTGGTTTATGCTCTGAAGGGGCAGAATTTATCTCTCTCTTTAATCCAGTCTATTGTGACTGCGAATGTTGTCATTACCCAGACAGAAGTTTAATCCTTTCAGGAAATATCTCCCCAGTTCAGCGCCTCTGTTATCCTTCTTTCCTCTCAGTCAAACTGGTGCACTTTAAAATCAAATCTTTCCCTTCACAGATCTAACGTAATAAGCTTAGCACTCCATCCAGCCACATTAGCCAGATCTTCACTGGGATAGTGAGTCGAGTTCTGGTGTCTGCAGATCAAAGAGGATGCTGAAAAATGGGAAAGATTTATTAGAGCCATATAAATGATTCAGAGTCTGGGAAACGTGTTTCTAGTGAAAGACATAAGGAGCTTCATCTGTTTAGGCTATCAGAGAGGAAATGAAGAGGAGACTCCATCACAATGTGCAAGCACAAATACAGGGAAGACGATTTCTGATATTAGATGGCTCCTTCAGCCAGCTGAAAAAGATACAGCAGTATTTGGCTGGTAGGTCAAGATCTAGTTTTCACTGGAAGTTGGAACTAGCACAAGAGTAAGGGAAGGAAAAAATGCACATTTTCAGGGTAAGGATAATTAGCCATTGGAAGAATTTGCCATCAGGGTAATGAATTGGGAAAATCCAGAGCATGAGCTTAATTTAGGAAGTCTATAATGCTCTCTGCTGGAGAGCGTTATCTTCTTCTACTGATTACAGAAACTAGCTAAATTGAAGCGCCAGAATGGGCACTGTAAACGCCCATCTTGGAGACAGAAGCCAAGTATCATATAGATTTGTTGCAGTGGAATTCATCTGGCTGCGAAAGGAAAGAACGTAAACCTAGGCCTCTATGTCAGAAACTCCTGAAGTCAGGTTCCTGGTATCCTGCTGGGTTTTCTTTGGCTTTAATTTTTTCTCTGTTTTTTCTACCTGCGAAATATTGATAACACAGCTATTTCCTGTCAGAAGACGGGTGTGGAACTCACCGTGTTCCTAAAGCACTCTGAACGTAAGTATCACTGTTTTTGCACTGGAAGTGGGCAAAGTGCTATGCCTCTTGGTGGATTTCTACTCCGTATTCAATTACATGTGTGTGCAGCAATACAGCATAAACTACAATTTAGCCAAGTGAAAGAGAATAAAGCAGAAGTCTGCTCTCTGCTGCATGTTCCCATTCCTGGCTTACGTATCTGTCACTGCAGAGACAAGGCAGTGTGCTACTGCATGCTAATAAATCACTTTCTGCAGCTCTGCACTCTCGCTGAGTGGCTGCGATTTGTGAATGACCTGTTTCTGCTCTGGGGACAGTTGGACTGAGAAATGAGCTGTGAGTTACAGTAAGCTGATCCTTTACCAGTCCTAGCACAGCAACAGCAAACAAACAGGCAAAGGCTGCCATCTTCAGTCAAAACCTTCCTACAGCAGCAGAGGAGAGAAACACAGAGAAGAGTGTGTACCTCAGAAAGGGATTTGAGACAGTGCAGGGACTAAGTGTAAGAAGCATACCACAATAGCAGTAGATGTGGAACACAAGTTGCACTGGCTGGCGTCACATCCCTTTGACTTCTGGGTGAGTTCCTGCTCCCAGGCTATAAACCTGCAGGTAACACTTCATTACTGAGGAGGGAATATCTGCAGGATAAGGGAGACCATTCTGCTATCACCAGTTTATAGGGAGAGTAAGCATTGTGGCATTGCTGATCACTGCAGCATCAAACTCTGCTTTCTGTGACAGAGCTAAGAGCAGCCGAGTTCCAACCTGGCACTGTAACCCCAAGCTTTTTCTTGTCATGACATCTTTTTAGCTTACCTAAAACTGCTTCCATAGGCAATCCTAGAAAGTGTCTGGCCTGAATTTTGACTGAGATAATGGATGGGGACCTTCGTAACAGTCTTTGCTACTTTCTTTGCCTGTATTGTGCTCTTGGCTTGCAGAGATGCTTCAGTATGTTGTTTGTTGATAGTAGACCTCACACCTGGCCTTTCAGAGAAGGGCCAGTGCCTCAGACAGCTCTGTTTTCACAGTTGGACTATGCCCCAACTGCCAATCTTGGTCCAGAAAAGCCTAGCTTTAAGAGGTGATAAGAATCCAGCCAAATTTAGCATGTGCAAGGAAAACCCAGTTACACTGGGGTGGGGGGGGGAGTTCCTCAGTTTAGAATAGTGTGGGTTTTTTTGTTTTTTTGTTGTTGTTTGTTCTTCTTCCCTTTGGGAATTTGTTTAAAATCTTTCTGTTCTTGGTTCAGGCCTTCTGGAGTCTTAGATGAGGAGCTGATTGCAATTGTAGTGTATTAGTCTCCATAAAAACACAAATAATGATTCTGCCAGCTGACAAACTCCCCACGACCACCCTCACCATTCAAAACGAACCCTGCTGGTTCCAGTCATTCACAGGCCCCTCTGACGCTCAGCATGAGAGGAAAGAGGAGGGCAGGCATTATATATTACTGTATTTAAGGGTACAATAATACTTTTTTTTTTTTTTTGGCCTCCCAGCTGACAATTTGTTGGGCTGCTATTTCATCATTCTTCCCCCGCCCTGGGCTTGCGTTTTCCCAATTCAGGCAAAATCACTACTTCCACGCTCAGCTGTCCTGATTGTATGAAGAAGAGTCTGATTGCATTATTCATCTGCAGTGTTCATAAAAGACTTCAAAATTCTTGACTAGACCTAAAGCTTTTGATGAAATTCTGTTTCAATGGAAAGGGAGAAGGATAATGAGTGAACTGGTGGCCTCTGATCTCATTGCTACCACACCAGCTGCGGACGGGACAGCTAGACCTGCAAGGTACAAGCTGATCCGTTGTATTTACTGAGTGATTTGTGGGAGATAGCTTGCTGCGCTGCTCTGCTTTGTTTTCTTCTTTGTCCAAGGTTGCAGTGACTCTGGGAAGCGAGGTGGTTTTACTGGGATGCAAAGGTAGCGTGGCTCAAAGGAAACGCTGCCACCTGCAGATATGAAAGCAGGTTTATCCCAGGTTGGTTACATTCCTATCCCAAGAAACTTTGACATACCTCATTAAAACTCTTCTGATTGAGAAGTTTATCAATCTAGGAAAGAAAGAAAGAAAGAGAGGGGAATCCAGTGAAATGAAGACAGCAGGGGAAAGGTAACACCATAGTTGTTCACTAACAATTTGGCACTGACAGAGACAGAAAATGCTAGACTAAGTGCATCTTTAGTCTGACTCACCTGGCCATTGTTGCTTTGCTTAGTCACTGTTACCATGGCAGCCCTTATCAAAACATCTACTTTTTCAGTGCCAGGGTATCTTGCTTATATTTGCTTTTGAGCAATAGAAGGACGTGATCCAAAAATGAAATGGAAATTCCCAAGGGGAGAGCGAGTACTGCAGTATGTGTGTATTGCAGGTCTCATGAGAGGAAGCATGAAGTGGGAGCTAAATGGATGTCTTGAGTCTCACGTGTGAGACTTTGCGGGTCTGGTTGAAGTAACTTATACACTGAATCTGTGTGCGAGCTAGCTCTATAAACTGAGGTGTTCTTGAGAGAAAAGTACCTTGGCGTTATTAGTAAAAAGATACAGTTCTGGCTTAAAACTCCCATTCAAATCCTTCCACTGCTGAGGGAGTCCGTTTCCATTATGCTGTCTTACCAGTGACATCATGATGGACAGCACAGATAGTGAAGTCATTGCAATGTCACAAAAGCAGTGGGTATTCTAGAAGGTCAGGGCCAAGCAGTTAGGGAAGCTGAGGAGGAAGAAGGCGAAACAAAGTGATTCATAATATGGTAGAGAAACTTGATCTCACTGGTGAACTGTATTTTCAGTTGGCATTTATTGTACCATCCTTGTTCATTTTCTTGGGCGGCCTGTTTACCATACTGGCTTTCAGGTTAGCCAAATATGCTTATAGAGTCATCCTAGAGCACATCTGGAGGAAAAAGGTAAAGGCAAAGTCTTGCTGAAATAGCTCGTATTTTGTGGGTTGATGTGAGAATGCAAGAGTCGAGAAAGCTTTTGGTCTTTTTTATTGAACTAGTACTCAATTAGAAAATCTGTATGCTCTGTTGCAGTGCACTGGGCATGGCATGCTCAGGGAGAGTTTGGTCCGGGGAAACCCAAAGGTATTGGTTTTTACCTCCAAGATGATTGCTTCTACAAGATTAGTGTTTTGGATATTATTGTCCTTCCCCTTTTGAGAGGAAGGGGCAAGAGGGGTTTTATCAATGTAGATACTACTAGCCATGCAAATACATACATACAGAAACCTCAGCACCTATATATGCATAAGATAAACACAGATGCACACAAAACCATCGTAATGCTTGCCACTTCAAGAATGATCACAATTATCCACACTTGCATATAACCTGTCAGTTCTAAACACACCAGTTCATATGTGCAAACACACCATATCTCATACATGTTCTTACTTTGACCCCTGCATTAGATAAGATTGTGTCTGGATGTGTTGGCTTTAGCCATCTTGAGAAACAGCATCTGGTAAGCCCAAGGATAGCAGTCTATTTGCTTCTCTGTCAGGAAAAAGATGTCTGGTGGCCTTACCAGAGGAAACAAAGCTCAGTCTACTGGATAAGAATCTTTTCTACCCAGGTGGCAATGATGCTGTCAGCTCAAACGTCTATGGGGCGTGTGCTGGTAAGTAGGTGGGCTAGCAGAGCATACTAGTTCTTCTGAGGACATCAAGGCACAGGGAAACAAAAGTATAGGTCAGATTTTGCAGTTCACGTGATCCACTTCAGACTTTTCCATAGTTAGTACAAGTGTCTTTGACCTAGGGAAGTGATTTGGAAAGTCTTCCTAAACAGTAAGAATGATGATAAAGTGGCTGAAACTCACTATCTGACATTTGTCTAGGTCTGGTTGTAGGCAGATTGCTGGGTTTGGTTACACAACCGCTGTCTTGTGGGTAATTATAGAGGCTCGACCCTGATGGCTTGCTTGATGCTTACCCTTTCAGCCAAGGCTACTAAAGTGGGAACTGATTACAGTGATATGGATGAAGATGATTTTTGTTATTTTAAATGCATGTCCAGTGGATTGAGAGTGCCATCTTCCTCCACCAAAAGAATTCCAGATGGTAATGACCTTTGCAAACAGGGATGACTAGGAAGGCTGTAAATGGGGTGAATTCAAACATGTGCCCTAAATATCATACGTTATTCATGGGAAGAGCTTCCTAGCTGCATTCAGTGCCTGAACACAAAGCAAGCATGGGTAGGATTTTAGCACTGTATTGCACACAGTCCTTACCCTAAATGCAACTGGAACTCAGAAACAGCTGCAAAAACAGATTTAATGTTTTTCCACCTTATCTTCAGCGCAAGTAATTTGAAGTTGAAATTGGACAAACACTGGGAACACAGAAAAGCCAAGCAGAAGATAAAAGCCAAACAGCACAGGAAAGGAGATCCATCTCGGTCACACCTCAGTCCCTTCATTGTTGGGACAAATTACGGCCAGTGATGCTTCTCAACAGAACTTAATTGCCTTTTTTTTTTTTTTTAATGTGAACTTCCTTCTGTATATTAGATTTTGGTGGCTGCAAGTGAATGAGCAGCTAGTCACATGAAGCTGATTCCCCAGCCTTTCACAATTACAACCAAGCAGCTGGAGTTGCATGGGAATAATTAGGTCAGCTGGACCCAGCCCTCAGAAGCAGCAAATCAACACGACAGTGTTGATATATATTGTTTGAGACCTTGGTTCACTGTGTGTAGGTCTAGCATCCCTTTTCTGGGGTTACTGCAGTGTAGGTAACTGAATTTTGTTCCTTCTGCCTCTCCTGTAAGTTGCGGACAAACGGCAGAAGAGGAATCTTAGATGTGTGTTTGGAACCTGTGTTACTACAAGGGTAAGCCTCACAGCATCTTCTTTGATGCCTCTGTTTTCAGGTGATACTGGTGTTTCTTCTGAATATTGGCGCTCTCATAATTTATTTTGTCGACCTTGCTGAGTAAGTAGATTACTGAAGTTTATCCAAAATGTTTGTTTAAACAAGTTGTGGAAGCCCAAGCTGATGTGCTTTCTTAGAGCAGTTTTGTGACCACAGATATTAGCCAGAGGAGCCTGTGCGTACGGTTTTGTGATAGGCCCCTTTGAGCTCTGTGGAATGTTGGGTACTTATCCATCTGATCCCTCAAGATCTCAATACTTAACAGGGATTACAGTTCCTTTAAAAGCATACCTTTGGCGTAACTGCATGATAGCAGCAGACTGAGTAGTGCATCAAGCTAGAAAATGCAGCTGGGAGGGGAAAGGTTCCTTATATATCTTTCTGTTCTAGCAGTTGGGGAGGGGGGCGTTTGTTTTTGGCGGGGAGAGAGGGAGTGTTGAGGTGTTTGGCTATTTTCTGTGGGTGTATGGTCACGTCTCCCTCCTCTCTCCCCAACCCCCCCATTATACTTTCGAAGCTGGATTCTCAGAAGAAGCAAGGGACAGCTTTCCAAGTCCTGCAGCTGGAAACAGATTTTGAAAATGGTCTGGCACCCATTTTGATACATACGTTTTCAAAAGCATTCAAAGCCCAGCTGTTCCTATTGCAATATGTAGTGAATGCTAGGCTTTTAATAAAGCTCACAAGCTACTACCCAAAACTCTTCTGGCCCTCTATTTTTGGTAGGTAAATGGGAACAGAGCTCTGCTATAAAACCCAGCCTTCAGTAAACAATTTGATGGGAGTAAAATAATGAGACTGAGTAGGAAAGCAATGCCGTGGCCTCTTATCAATCTTCGCCTGAATACATATATTTTGTAGAGTGTGCTCAGGGGTAAAAAGATATTAATATGTAAAACCCTTTGATCGATTTAATATGCCAGAGCTTTATTCTCAGTGCTTTGCTTGGACTGGTGCATAACACTGGAAAAATAAAATGGAATCATAAAATGAGCTAAATAAAATATAAAAGCTGTGGAGCAGTCTGAACTGAATTCAATCAGCACAGGTAAACCTGAGAATCAGAATTATACATCAAGAGCAATCCAATAGTGTGTTTAATCCCAAGACGTTATAAATCTGACAAACAGCTAGAAATAGTTTCAGAAAGGGAAGAGTTTCTTTTTAAGGAGCAAGCAGGCAGTTAATCTTATTCACACAGAGTTCTTTCCATGAATAGCATTATACCCCATATATGAAAGTAGATGTTCACCTGGGTTGACCTATGGGACTAGATTGCTTAGTTCTTTCTCCTTTTAAAATATCCCCTGTCTGGAGGAGGAAGAGTGTCTCAGCTGGCCATAACTGATGTCCCTAACTCACTGTCAGCCTGGTACGGGCAGTATGTCAGCAAGTGAGTGTGGGAATCTGCCCTGCGCTCTCTTGAGCCACTGTCCAACATCTTTGTTGGACAAGGCGGTGCCAGTGGGGAAAGTTTATTCCCGCCGCTTTCCACTGCCACATTTTACCACCTGCACCAGTCTCCACTGTTAACACTTTATTTCAGCACTCTGTAAGCCTATTTCATGCCAGGTCAGTGGAGCCGGCCTAGAATGTTTAAGTTAGTGTTGTAAACTCACCTGGCTGACTTCACTGGAAACTAGCTAGTGCTTTAAACTGCTCTCTTGGCAGATAGAAGTCCATGTTCAGTAGGGATTCAGTAAGAAATAGCTGCAGGCGCTATCTCTTCCACTAACTAAGCTGAGTACAGAAGAGGGCACTGGTCCACAGAAGAAAAAGGTGCTCCTGGAGAAGTTGACAGGAGGAGTTGCTTAAACACTCCTAAGTCTATGAAAACCAAACCATCCAGTACAAAGTGCGGGATAGACAAAATAATGTCATGTTTTAACCTACTTCCTAATGATAAGGAAAACCTGCTATTAACATTCACTTCCTAGCTCACTGAGGAAGCAGAGATTTAAATTACACCAAATCGTGAATATTTTCAACTTCTGATTTATTGAATATTTCATAATCAAAATAAAAAACAAAGCTGAGTATCACTTTATAGTCAATCTGTTGTTTGTTTTGTTCTTACCTCTCGCTCCTTCCACTGGCGGTGATTTATATTTCTCCATTAGAACAGAGGATTTCAAGATCTCCTTTCCGGACAGCATCCTCTTTACAGATACAGGCTTCAATGCTTTCTTCCTACTTTACTTTGGATTACGGGTAAGGGCACTTTATGAGGAAAGGTGAGTTAAAAATACATATTTGGGAACAGTTTACCTGTATGGGACAGCAGCTATTCTGGAGTATGATGCTTGATTGCCTTAGCTTAATTCAGAGCCGCCCTGTTTTTTTTCCACTTTCTCTTTCAATTGCTTTCTTTTGGGAATTTGCTTATTTTCCAGCATTCTGCCAGCATTTTCCCAGCTCACACATTAGCCGTATCTTTCTTTGTTCATGTCTTTAAACCACTCAATGCATTAGTAAGGTCTCTCTTCTGCTTATCTTGAATGGACTAGATAGCTGTATGCCGTCTGTTAAAATGCCATGAGTTGTCCTGTTGTGAAATACATTTTGAGCCTAGCTTTTGGCATTAGAATTTTTGGCCAAGTCATTAGAAAGCAGGATTTTCCCTGCGATGATTGTAGGTAATAAGAATGGAGTCTTGCCTGTCCCTGGGTTTTTTAATTCATTATAACTGATCCTTTAGAAGCACAGAGAAAGGTACCCCAGAAAAAAAGATGAAATGGGCAGATAAGAGAGGAGGAGAGAAAGAATATCATTATACCTTTGGGTACAAACTGCCATTATGTTCTCAGGGCTTCAGTCTAAGCCTTTCTGAAACATAACAGGAGCGTTAAGTGGGTGTCCACAGAAGCCAAAATGATAGAGAAAAAAGCAAACTGCTAAAATGAGTCTTCTCCTCAGAGCACCTTCTCCTTGCTCTGATGAGACCCAAGATCTTGTGATTTTTGATATTGTTCATCTTTAGTTGGTGGCAGCGGATGACAAGCTGAGATTCTGGCTTGAGCTGAATTCTCTTGTGGATTTCTTCACCATCCCTCCAGTTTTTGTTTCCTATTATTTAAAGAAGAATTGGCTTGGTAAGTGAGACTTGAAGATCACGTGTTCCATCTTAGTTATTCTGCATCTTACACCAAGGCTTGCTTGGGGACGCTTTGCTTGACCACCACTATGAAAACTGTTCTTTTTAAGTGGGAACAAAATTATGCCTTATTGATTTAAAAAAAAAAAAATCTTTTTGAATTTTAAGAGGCTTGTGAATTACCAAACACTGCCTGTGTTCTGTTTATATGTCTGCCTAGGTTTTAGTACCCCATCCTTCACTATCCTTCCCCAACTGTATGTGGGTTACTCAAAAACAGGGTACCATCTTTACTTCCCTTCTATGAATGACTTTCAGGCATGCTCTGAGGTCTGTAGTCCAGTGGGCCTATATATCACTTAATCCCTCAGGTTATAGCTCAAAGAAGCTGCATTTCTTAATTTTTCTTGTAATTCAAGGCCTCCTTTGAAGACATAAATGGAAATCTGGCAGCAAAAGGCTCTGAATACAGAGCAATGCTATCCCCTCTTGCCCAGTTTGATCTAGGATTTACTATAAATATGTGGAAAACAAAGCTTGCGTATCTAAACGTATTTGAATACATGCAAATGCTCTGCTTCTAGATGGAGTTTTTTTTTAATCTTCTTTGACTTGCTTGCTTTTCTACAGGTTTGCGTTTTTTGAGAGCACTTAGGTTGTTAGAACTTCCCCGAATACTACAGTTCCTCAGGATCACTAAGAACAAGTAAGTCAAAGCCTGACCAAGCGCACTCAGAATCATAATGTTCTCCCTGATGTCTGTATTTTGGCCAACTCAGGTAATAAAGGTGTAAAACAAAAAAAAAAAAAAGTGTTGTATATGGAAATAAACTGACTATCAATAATGTTTGGCTAGAAATTACAAAAAATTTTATAACTATTAGATGTGTGAAAAATAACTGGGAGTCATACATTCATACATACAAGTTATCTTACAGGTTTGGGAGTTTGATAGATATCAAAAATTGGGTTATCTGACATGTTACCTGTGATAGGAAGGTTTTTTTTCTAATTCTAAATCCATCTTGTGTAGTGTTACCCACACAAGAGAAATTTCTGAGCAGAGATGGTGTCACGTAGGAAATTTTAACTCTTGCAGAGATTATGTTATGTCTTAAAAGCTCTGGGCTTTTCATTTTCCATCTCTAGTTATTCAATCAAGCTCTCCAAACTCTTTGCTGTGTTTCTTAGCACCTGGCTCACAGCTGCGGGATTTATTCACCTGGTATGTATAGTCAGTTACACCTTCTTCCTTGTCACCTTAAATCAGTATTACTATGTGAGCTTTGGGTGTATGTTTGTCCTAAGAAGCATGGCTTTCTCTTGTGGGATGGGGTGGGGGGATAGATTTATTATATCGGGACAAAGCGTGATTTCAGCCAGTGCGTTTCACTTGGATGTGTTGCCAGACATAATTGCACTGATGTAAGCCTAACTTTTCTGGTAGTGAGTTCCTTCTACAGTAACTGTAGTAGTGCTAGTTTTTCTTTATTAAATAATTAATAGTCAGAGATGGACCCAAATCAAACCCCTTGATTCAGTCTTTCTTTAAACTTTTCTCTCACTTTCCTCTTCCCCCCCCCGGACAGGTAGAAAACAATGGAGATCCTTGGGTCCACCCTGGAAATTCCCAGTCCCTGAGCTATTTCGAATGCATGTACCTAGTAATGGTGACTATGTCCACTGTTGGTTATGGTGACGTTGTGGTTCAAACAGCCCTGGGTCGAACCTTCATTATTTTCTTCATCATTGGTGGTTTGGTAAGAAACCTTTATTCCTTTTCTGGAAATGACAGCTGGGGACAGAGAGTAAACAGCAATGTCACCAAAGACTTGAGCTTAGAGGGTTCCAGCAGGGATTAGGTATCCATGCGCAAACACAGAGTTTTAATATGAAGTACTTACTGGCATGACAGTGAGTAATTTTGTCCTCTAAGAACTGGCAAGGCCTCTATTATTTCTTCCTGAGGCTGCAAACGCTTGACAGAGCAAGAGCCAAAATACTGGACAAAATGAATCCAAGGTGCCACTAATTTTAGGAATCGAAAGTAAATTTGTAGTTGTTCCACACAATTTAAATTCACATAGGTTACTTTATCGTAATTGGGAGAGATGGAAGTGGATCTGAGAGATGTGATGTTTCTGGATGTCCTAGGTACTGTTTGCAAACTTAATCCCTGAAGTTGTGGAAATTGTTGAAAGCCATAAAAGTTACAAATCCTCCTATGAAGTGGTGAGTGGGAAAAAGTAAGTATCATTGCTATTTTTATTTGCAAAATAAAAATCAGATCAGTTCAGTTACTAGGTTGGGAAAATTCCTGTAATAGTTCAAATCAAATCCTGAAACTTACTCTTGGTTGATCCTTGCCTCAAAAGTGTCTCAAAAGACCTTGTCAACACCACCCTTCAGCATGGAATTTATGTTCAAAGGAAGAGAGAAGCTAGGTGACGTGGTAGGTATCTTCCTACCTAAGGCTATCTCATTAGCTAAATTAGGCTATCTCATTGGCTTTTTTACCATTCCAGATTGGGCGGATTAGGTACAGGCTTTACCAAGCTCTATCAAGTTCCTTCTATGACTCGCCTTTCCTTTTTGAATCTCTAGTGTTCACTACTTCTAACACTTATACTTCCTCTTCTGAAGTGTACGGTCGTGATGGATGAAATTACTGTCAAATCAAAGACACAAACTCTTCTGCGGTACTTGGTTTAATAACCAACAAGCAGACATGTAATGTCATACAATGTCAGGTTTGCAACAATAACTCTACTGTTTCAAACTGTCAAATGTTGTTTGATCTCTTCCTCTAGTTACATTGTCGTCTGTGGTAACATCACTCTGGAGAGCGTCACTACTTTCCTACAAGACTTTTTACTTGAGGACAAGGGAAATGTTTGCACAGAAATCCTTTTTCTGGGAGAGTAAGTGTCTGTATTTCTCTGAGACTTCATATTCATTCCCTCAATGCTTTTGGGGGAAATGTAAGAGGTCTGAAAGTAAATGCTTAGGTCTGAAAGCCATGCTGTATAGCTAATTAATGGGAGTTACGAAACAAATTGGAGCATGAGACTTTTGTGCTGTAGTGTTCATGATAAGATATTTTCTGTTATCATCTAAAAAAAAATCCCCTGAAAACTGCACAGTAAACTAGCTTTGCCTGCGATACTGAACTTTAAGTCTTGCTGAATCTGGCAGTCAGTTAATTATCAGCTGTCTCAGTTTTTCATACCTTCTTCATTCAGGATAGGAAGAAATTTGTAACTTCTATTTAGTCATACTGGGATATGGCAAAGGGAGAAGAGTAAAACCACTTTCCTGTGGCAAAAAATAATCAGGCGTCCAAATGAACTGTCCTGTCGGATCCCCTCCTTCTGCTTGGCTGAAACCACTAGACATGTTTCTGAAGCAGAAGCTTCAGAGGGAGGTGATGGCTGGGCTCACAAACATGATTTTACCTTGGAACGCAATGGAGGTGGGGCAAGAGGCGAGCAAAATATTGTAGGAATCTCTTTTGAAATACCATGACATTCTGAGAGCGCTATTGAATTGAGGATGCATGGGAATGAGGTACAGGAATGGTTCAAAGACAGGAAAAAATGCTGTAGAGGAAGAGATTTGAAGAGAATATAATTATGAGAGAATGGGTTTTTTTTTTCTTCTTGTTGTTTGTATTGAATAGGTCTCTTCCTAGTCTGGAGCTGGAAGCTGTGTTCAAATGCTATTCAGCTTACACTACTTTCTTTTACGGCTCTGCTTTGAACTTTGAAGATCTAAAGAGAGTTGGGGTAAGAGCTTTATCATTTGCCCTTTCTTACTTATGAGCCTTTCTCGGGGAAAATCTTGTCCCTTATGAAAGGATGCATCAGCCAGGTTTACTCACTTCATGTTGAGATTTACACTTCAAGTAGCTCCCTTTATTTTAGAGCTAACTTTTGCATGCCATCATGGGAAGTGAGAATGCAAGAACTGAGCATAACAGACTTTTCTGACTATCAATTTTTCAAGCACCAAAAAAGAAAAATTAAAGGACAAAGTCAAGCTGATCAACTGATTTTAATAAAGGAATGTTATAGAATGCAGCATTTCTGGAATTTTTAGTTAAATTATTGGAACAGCCCTCAGTTAGCCCTTCTTTAAAGCATGATTCACGTTTGAGTCTCATTCATAGATGACCAGAAAAGAAGACCAGTTAAAATACTGAAGACTCACTGAAATATCCCAATAAAAACAAAAGGGATGGACCTGCATTCAAACAAACAAAACAAAACAAAAAAACACCCAGAACTTAAACCACTGACTTAACTATGGTTTCCACTTGATATAGTGACCTATTTCTACTAGTTAGTAAACTGCATTAAAAGATCTCTATCCATTTCCCAGAAGACTATAAAAACCATAAAAGAAACTTTTCTTTGTTAACAACTTCACTGCACAGCCCAAATAACAATTAGATGACAGAGATGGAGCTCTTTTGACCTGCGCAAATATTGACCTGTGAAGTACTTTGGCTGGGCTTTGCTGGGGATGAATATAAGACTGCTGCCTATTTTGTAACCTCTTCTAGGAAGATTTTAGTGCAAAAAGCTGTAAGTTTCATGTATTTCAGCACTTTGAAAATAGATATATGCATTACGTACTTTATCTACTGCTTGATTGGAACATTAAGGCTCCAAGCTGTGTCATTCCCAAAACATTTGGGCATATGTACAACTCCAAAGTAATCAGATCATGTTATCTTTAGTTATAACACTCCTAAGGTCATATGCCACTAAATCAGCTCACTATGGGAGATTATTGTACTTCATATGGGATTAAACCCTGATTTGACTTTTCTTTCCTGGGATACAGATGGGATCTGCAAGTGCTTGTCTGATTCTAGCAGATGTTCACTCTCTACAACCTTACACTGAAGATACTTCCAATATCATGAGGTAGGATGAGATGCTTCAGTGCTTTTGTTGTCTCCATGGTTGATAATAGCAGTGACACAGACAGTACAGCTGGCAGGGGAGCACATTTGTCCCGTCATGTTCTTTCAGTCAGGAGAAATCTGAAAGCTAACTGACTGCTTTCTGCTATGATTTTATCAGATGCTTTGAAGGATTGAGACAGGTAGCAGTTGTGCAGCCTTGCAGCCCTTTACAGAATATGGTGTTATTTAGTGTGGTGGTGTTACCCTCTTCACTATCATGCACATACTATGTTAGCAGTTGAGCAATCTGGTTCTTTTATGCTGGAGGGAGTTATGCCCTACTGTCCTGTGCAGCTCTCTACTGCCAGATCGCTTTGAGTATCTTTGTACCGATCAGACTTGAATTAGGAACTCGTTTAGTACTACTGGCTTATGTGGGGGTGATGACCTAATTGGCATAGTATTCTGCCCCAGAAACAATTCGGAAGTGCAAGTTCCAAATTGGTTTATCCTTCTTTTCTATTTGTAGAGCATTTACTGAAACAGAGGTTTTAGTCTGTCAGTGGAATTTACAGGTGGAATATGCAAAGCAAATAATACTAATTACTGTTGCCTCTCTCAATTTTAGAGTTGTAGTGGGGTACAGGTACAGTTCTTCACCCTGTGTCCTTTATTATGTGCCATTTGCTTGTAGTCTTTCTACCTCCCTCTCTAGATGATGGACTTGAATTTGCTCAGTGTGTAGAGGTCCCTCGATATGGGCTTTGGGCTAAATGTGATCATTTTCCGGTTGCTTTCTGCTGGAGTAATTTACCTAGACTTGAAAAATGAAGGACCTTAGCTGGAACTAAGCGTATTAATCAAAAGTTGCTGTCTTTTTTTTTTTTTTTCTTCCATAGAGTGCTGTCTATCAAGAATAACTACCCAAACACGAGAGTGATTTTACAAATAATTCAGTCTCATAACAAGGTAGCACAGTTGTCTGTCTGTCATGCTTGTTGTCATGGCTGAAATTCTGGCCTTTTTGGAATCAAAGATCCTGCTTTTTTATAAAAGGCCAAGATTTTATCCAGTGTCTCTTACTCATCCAATTACTAACGTAGGTAGAATGTCTTTTAACGTTACTAAAAAAAACAAAAACAAAACCTTTTTGTTTGTTTTATTGTTTGATGTAACAGTTGTCAGCAAATGCTTATTCAACGGTTAAAATGCCTGTCATGGACCTAAATCTAGCATCACTGAGGGCTCAGGCATCAAATGTTCTTGGGCCATAAAATGAGTGCTTCTAGCATGTCATACTTCAGTAACTTGTTTAATCATATGTCTGCTTTGGTATTGGTCATAGAAAGTACAGCGTATCAAATGATATCCAGCAGTGCAATTGAAAATCTTGGCTTAGGGCAAAATCTGCTTGTAAGAGTAATTCAGAAGCCAACTATTAGCATATTCCAGCACAGATTTTCAAAAAATAAGAATGATAAAGACAAGACAGGAAACATTATTTTACGGGAATGTTGTGGCCCTGCTTATCTCAGCTGACTTGTAATCACTTCCCTACTATGAAACAGGTATACCTGCCAAACATCCCCAGCTGGGATTGGAGGACCGGAGACAGCATCATCTGTTTTGCTGAGCTGAAGCTAGGCTTTATAGCACAAAGCTGCTTGGTTCCCGGCTTGTCTACACTCCTAACCACTCTGTTCATTGGGAAAGAGAATACTGAGGTACATCCTCTGCTTGTCTATGTGAACATAGACCAGTGGGATCTTCTCCGAAATCTGTGCCTGACTCTTTTGAGCAGAAGCTGCAGCTGGGTCTTCTCAGGCTTATCTTCAACATGCTGGGTTTTAGCTTGGCAGAGAAGACAAGAAGACCTAATAGACTATTTTTAATTTAATATTTGAATTTGGGACAAGAGGTGAAAAATAGAGCTCTAGAGCAGAGCTAAAGCAAAGGAACCCAAGGTTATATTTTACAAGGGAGTATGCAAAGAAGTGCCAAAGCAAAGCATGGCCCATAGCAAGCCATGCTGCTGCATTTAGGTGACATGTGGAAGTACCATGACTATTGCTGTAGGTCCAAAAGCAGTAATGTGATGTTAGTGCTGCACTGCCTCTGAAAGAACCCATAAATCAGTTTTGGTTACAGCATTGTATAGACCCTGTTAGCTCTCTGCTTCTGCACCTGATTCCATTCTGT